CTGCTACTCTCATCCTCAGAGCTGTCTCAGGAAAAGCCCAGGGCGCACAGCAAGGCAGAGCATATGGGTATTACATCGCTATACAGTATAAAAGAAATAACAGGGGAAGAAAGATTCAGCACCACAGACTTATTGAATTAAACATTATTGTGGCTAAAACAATCAATACACTATTGATCGCATTATCCATATTAATATTTAATTCAATTAAAAGGCTCCCAGTTTGTTTTAAAAAAAAATGCCTTGCAGATCTTTGCTGCTGCAGAGAAAAAAATGTTAAATTTTGCTACAGACCATGAATTCCAGGTGGAGCAGGGCTATCAGTCTTAGCAGAGCTGGATTTCATCGGACACCAGCTGTTCCAGCTTTGTCCTTCCAGGAGAGCAGCATCTCGGGGCTGTCCCAGTGCAACGGCGAGATGCTGGCCTCAAAGCTGCAGCTAGAGCCAACGTTTCGGCCACTTCGTGAGACGAGACCTCCAGCCAGCAGTTAGATCGAAGCATGGAAAGTGCCTCTTTGCCCTGGAAATAATGGCAAAGCGGGGAATTTCCTCCCCTTCCCTCCCATCTGATTGCATACGAAATATTCTCCGGCTTTTAAGGGTAATTTAGCACTAGTTAAACTACTGTTAATTTAAATCAAACAAGTCTGGAAAGATAGAACATGCTGTACTATTAAAAACAGCTGAATCTTCATTTGTTCCATAAGAGAGAGATTTTCCATTTCCTGACTGATATTATCTGGCTGTCCAAAGACATCTTTCTACAGTTTTTAAACTGATATTTAAGCCTGCATGGCTACTTTTTGCAAGATAGTGTGGTCTGCTTTGTTATCAACGAGGAAGATTCAAATCTTTCCAAACTGCTGCTTCTTGCAAAGTACGAAAGAAAGTCAGAAAAAGGACATGGAGGCCTAATTGATTAACAGTGTTAGGCTGACATCAAACCCCCACTCCATTTCCAGGAGCAAAAACAGGTCATCATCTGGCACTGAAGTACCAAACACCTTAAAAAGAAAAAAAGTAAAGCCTTGTTTTGTGTTTCCTACTCAGATTGAGCGAGAGTGAGGACCTTTACCTCAAGCCTAACGAAGCAGCTTCGACGAAGCACTTGCTGGCGTCTTTACTCTGGGAGAGGTGCAAGTCTTTGGACCTTTCCACGCTTGCTATCCATTAGAAAGAGGAATAAGACAGGACAGATGAGCGTCTTCCAGATGTGCCAAATCTACTTTGGGACCAAAAGGAAACACCACTGTTTGGTATTAACTTGTTTCCCTGAAACACTTAATAATGCAACATCTAGCTCTCCTGCATTACTCTGGTAAGTGCTTTTTATGGGCCACAATTTTTTTTCCGAAAAGTCACTTTTGAGTACCTCAGATAACAAAGTCTCAAGCCTCAACATAGGTGCACAGAAAGGAACCATGTTGCAGCAATAGGAACAAAGCCCTAAGAGAACTATTTCTCAAGGTCTATCCACCATAACTGCACTTCCTCTGATGTGCTCACCATACAAATATTCAAGAAAATTACTCTGCCTCAATAATTATCTAATCTCAATTACTTCAGAAAGAGCAGAAAGATGTTTCAGGGATAAGAAAAACTCATAAAATTTTTGAAAAAGAGCAAGCAGTTTAAGATAGAACATTCGGAAGTACAAGTTATTCTATAATTATATTGCCTTGAACCTCACACAACATAATCTACATCACTAGATGTTGCTAGAAACCTCCATACTCTCCCGTTTCACGTTTGTATACACAGCCATCTTAAAAAAATGCAATATATGTATCTATAATAATCTCTCTCTATATATACACATATATACTTATACACACACACGTTAACCCTCCAGATAATCTCCCTTAGACGAGAGGTCACAGCCATTCCAAAAGCCTAGATAAATTTCACAAGATGCTGCCTGAAAATCATTAGCTTTTCTGAAGTCCCCAGTGTTTACAAGGTAGGAGCTTGAGTTTCTATGATCCAGAAAGAAAATCTTGGAATCCTACTCCTTCAATGCCCCCAATTGTTGATAAACTTTAAATACAAGTATTTCAATTTCAATACAGGAGAAAACTGCTATAGTTTCAGATGTTCTAACACAGGCCCAGCTAGCTCTGTACATTGTCTTCAGCTACAGCCACGAGATGACAGACTGGAAAGGATTGATTAACACATATGACCCTCTTCCCAGCTTTCACCTATTCTCAGTTCTGAGGAATTCCCGAGGTAATCAAAGTTTTTGTCCTTTCTTGTCCTTTAATGGACTTTGACAAACTCCTCTAGCCCCTGCTTCAGACCATACCAAGACATACGGCACCCAGAACAGTCTGTGGCTCTCAGCTACTCCAGTCTACTCATATTTCATGCAATATCTCTTCTGTTTGGAGCCTGCCTCCCACTAGCTTCTTTTAATGCACCCTTGAACTGGAAGAGACAGTGAAAAATGATCCCTACACACCCTTCTCCCCATGACTCATGATTTTATAACCTTGCTTTTATGAGTCAAAACTCATCCAATGGATTAAGGAGCTTGATTTATCCTTAGCACAAGTCTCTTTTTAGACACATTTTATTGAGTGCTACCCCTGCTTAGAATTAGCAGCAACAGTTGTGAATAATAAGCAGGGTCTGTCATTGAACTCTAGTTTTTCTACACTTACCTACTGCTTCAAGAACAGTTTCGCATTTGCTTCTATTCTTGCATCAAAATCCAGATTATTTCGCTCTTTCCAAATCCAGAAGTTTATGTAAATCGGATTCAAACTCTGAAACCCTGAAGAGACCTGAAGGAGATGGGCCAGTGTCAATCTCGAGTACATTTCACTTAAAATTTGTGAAAAAAAATCATCAATATTTGCTCTTCAGTACGAGGCCGTGGGATTCTTAATGTGATTTGATGGCAACCTTTGCTTGAAAATAGGACTTGATTCAGAGGAATCAAAGCATATGCAAACAAAATTAAAAGCAAGACTTTAAGACACACAGAAGTGAGGCTTAAAAATTAATGGCCATGCTCTAGTACAGTTTCTTTTCCACTCCCAGGAAAGAATAAACGGCTCCTAAAATCTTGTAAATCCCCAGCCTCTACAGGGGATAGGCAGAGATGACAGAAGGTCAAACTCCTTTCCAGCACAGGGTAGAAAAGCTACGTTCTTAAGACTTTTGCTGAAATTCACTGCTACTTCTACAAAGAATACTGCAATAGGTATATTGATGCACTATGAAATGTCAAGTTAAAATGAGCTACAATTGCCAAAATAAATGACCAAGTGCACACATTATCGACTCAGTAGCTTATTTTCTGCCAGTGTTTGTCTGCACCAACCCTCTGCTCTGCCAGAACAACAGAAAAATCCATTCATCCCATGGGTTGTTCCATTTATTAATGAGCCTTGCATTTTTGCTTGCTCACCCAGACAAGCAAGTACTTGAGAACTGCATTTAGTGAAGAGTAATGACTCAGTCCAGCCTAAGCGATAGATCAAGACACTCCAGCTCCGAAAGTCTAGAAAATGCTACTGAAAACTTCACCTGTTACACACAGAGAGGGTATTTCTGAGAGTTGCACAAGGGATGCTCAAACGTGGTGGGGGATTTGCCATGGGAACAGTTACAAAAACTGACTTGCAGTGAAGAGGTCATGTAGCAGACAGGAAGGATATATTATTTCATGCTTGTAAAAAATTCACATAGAAGTACTTCCATTTTCCTGTTGAGGTACACGTGGACTACTATTCTGCAGCTAAACCCAAGCAATGAGGTACGCCAAAAGTGACTGGCACAACAGGTTTTATTATAGACTACATCCAAAAAAAAAAAATGAACACAAAACCTTGGTTTTATCCCACAATCATTCTCCTTGTATAATCATCATTACAAGACCCCTATCTCCACATTATCTGTTCCAAAACTAAGGCAACACACAAGAAAGCCATTACATGCCATAAGAACAAACAGTTCTTATGAAAAAAGAGAAAGATTCTGATAATAAGTTATTAATTATGAAAGAATTAAAAATTGATTATTACAGAGAAGCAAGAATCAACCATCACTTCAATGTAGCCAGATACAGTAGCACAATTACACAAAAAGTGAAGCATAGTTATTTTTTGCGGTCATTACATTTTTCTTTTCCAAATTAACCATGATAACAATCATCTGTACTTACAGAAGTATTTCTGATAATAGAGAATCCAATACTTTAAAACATTCAGAAAAGACAATCTTATATAGACTATACATTTGCAAGCGAGAAGGAAGATGCTTTGGATAGAGCATTACTCTTGCTACAAATAACTAAATTTAGATTAAAAATTTTAGAGATAGTTTCAAAAACATCTACTGTCATATCACTTCAGGCCACTAGCTCTACTTTAATTTCCACAGAGCTTACCCTACGGCACCTTGACAAGGTCTCCCTGCAATGTTCAGCTGTGAAATATTATAAAGAATGGAACTGCTGTCCAACAGAAGAGACATCTATACAGGCAAATGACTAGATTCAAATGCATGAAGTTGTTTTTTTTATTTTATTTTTTTTATTAATAGGAATTTTGGCCTGGCTGAAAGATGTTGACATGCACAGTAGATCCTTGTCAACACACATTAGCTGCAAGAGGAATGTGGTCATGCTCTATTGCCTATGAAGGGCTGGTTTCAAACCAAGAATGCTCAGAGAGGTTTGGTTTTGTAAAGTTTTCTTTACAAATTATGTCGCTGATCATTATAGTGATGTTAAATGTAAAATAAACCTTACTAAATAATTGAAGGCACATTTTTCAACGCAGTAGCTTTACATCCTTTTGCCATAGCAAGTTCATTTATTCCAACATACCTGTGATCTTCGGAAATCATTTGAAGTCATCAAAGCTTTGCTGTATTCCTAAGTGCAAAAGATGAATCAGTGAATCATAGCTTCAGTTCTCCCTGCCCCTCAACACAGGCCAGTGCTTAACAGCGTTTTCCAACCGCTCAACATTCACCACTTAACCTTGCACATGATACAGGGATAATCACTTTACTGGCAGCAGCTGAAACGACATCACACAGTCTATAAGCCAGCTGGAGGGGGCCATCCACACCTTACCCTGACGAATTTTCTCTGGCTTGAATTTAGAAGCTGCATCATAGATGACGTACTGCGTGCAGAACCGCTGGTCAGAAGCGGGCTCTGCATGATACGCCACCGTGTTGATGGTCTGCGTCACATCGCTCTCTGGTTTCGGCTGCCGAACCAGAATTTGTCCTCCTGCTGCTTTGGCCAGCTCTGAAAGATCACTCTTCTGGGGACGGGTGAAAGATCCCAAAAAATAGAAGTAGCATCCATCAAATAACTTTGGCAGCTAATTGGAAAGAAAAAGTGAACAGATGTTCACAACTGCACACAGGAAAAAACTGAAAAGGAACAATCAGTATCTAACAAAAAATGCAACCAAAACCAGAAGCTACATCAGTAACTTAGTAAGATCCTCAATATAATTATAGAGCCAAGTAAAGCCATGCTTAAACTTTAAATAAGCTTTACTATGTACCTGTTTGCCAGTACAAGAGGGATTTGCTTCATGACATTCCTAGGAATTTTCCAGTTAACCATAAAAGTAGTCTTGTAATGAAACAGGAAATTCAAGTATCTGTCTGTCCTTACAGATCATTTCAACAGGGTTGTAGAGCAAAGAAGCCCAACGAGGCATCACTGCCTGTGCCATAAAGCTTCACCACGAATGTACCTAAATGTTCCCCCTAACAAGGTTAAGGTAACATATCCCCTAATACAGAAAAATGAATGCTTGATGGATGTTCACAATTCTCTCAATCACCTTGCACATAATCAAATTTCTGTACAAGAACACATTAAAATTTTACATCTATTGCACCTGCCCATGTGGCAAAGTGCAAAATGACATGACCCAAAGGTCATTAACACAATCTGTCTCAAGCAATAAAACTCACCAGCTGTTCCCTGTTGAGCCGGCCTCTTTGTGGGCCACCTTGGATTTCATACTTCTCTTCTTGTTCTCGCACCTGGGTTTGCAGACAGGCTCGTACCCCTTGTACAAGAGCAATGGGGAAAGCATCAGGTCAAATTCCCAGGATTATTTTTGAGGAATCACTGTAGTTTAACAGAAGTTTGCATTTCCTTTTAGGGACTACACAGTTACACTGAGATAAAAGGATTGCCTGCAACACATACCCTTGTATAAACATGGCATCAAAGCTTTGTCCGATTTAGTCTTTTTTTAAAAAAAGAAAAAACTTGAAAAGAATTTACAATAGTTAAAAGATGCAAGTTAGATGGAGAAAAGAAATATCCCACCAAAAGTGCTGTATACGCTAGGAATTATCAGCTTTTCCTCTCACCCACCAAAGGTCAACTGCTTAATGTCAAATGTCAGATTTGCTGATCATTTAGAAAGGAAACTTAAACATGTAGAAACAACACCGCAGTCACAAAGTGAGAGCAATTGCCTGATAAAGAGCAATTACAAAGCAAGTACAAAGCTGTTTCTGAGCATCTATGGACTCAAATAGCAATCAGATGGGATTTCAAGGTCTCTAAGTTCAGCACAAACAGGAGATTTATGCTAGGGCTCCACAGTGGCATTCATTTTTGTTACTATCACTGCATATTGAGGTTGCCTTCTACAGTCAGCATGGCTTTGCCTTGTTCTAAGGCTAGTTATTTTTTCCCAGTCTAGACTGTGCTGATGCTAATGTATTGCTAACATTAGTGGAACACTCTACCTGACCTGACTTTGGAAAGAGAAATTGCTTTCATCACCCACCCATGGATGAAGCACTTTGCCTGCACATGCAACGCACTCATTAATAAGAATTACCAGAGAAAGTTTGCAAAGCTGATTTTGGAAACAGTTCATGAGGATTGTGCCAAGCTGTCAAGGTTGTGACTTTTACAGTAGCATCCTTGCATAATGTTTCTTATGTAGGCAATCTACTTTCACCTTGCAAATAGAGAATCCACAATACCTAGGAAAAATACAACGGACAGAACAAAACCACAACCAAAATGAGGGGTTTGATACTATAAAGGAAGAAAGCCTAAAGACCTAGAAGGGAAGCATCACTGACAGAGGTACTTGGATACTCTGGCAGTAAGCAGCACTATAAAACCCTTATCCAGAGATCCTGAAAGCCAACTGCTACTGATTTAGCAACAGTTTATGTAAACTCAAAAACAGCAGAGATTCATACTCTAGTTTCTAGCTCTTTCAGTTAATTTACATGAAAATAGATAATTTGATACAGTAACTGAGATTGCAAATATTCCTTTGTTATGCATGTTGACGAGTGTAAGAAAACAGCAGTGACTTGTTGTATACTACAACATCACAGCCCTCCCTCCATGTGCAACTATCAGGTTGCATATTGAGGTTTGATACAGTTAATTTCTTCACCATGAACACAGACAAAACTAAAAGGGCAACCTAGTCATGTATTTTGTGGAAAAGTAACATACATATTCATTACCAATAACAGGACTGAATACTGATAAGGTCCTCAAGGTACTCATAACTTGAGAATAAAACAAAGTTATTTCAGTAACTCTACTCCTCCCCATTTTTTAAAAAATCATCAAGGCTTAAGCCAACAAAGTTTCCTTTGTCAATTTGCCTTTGCCTTATTCTAAGGTTATTCTTTCCTTCCAAGAATGGAGATGTTAATAGGTACATCTTACAAGAATGGAAAAGCCATCTCATCTAGTCTTAAAAACAGAACCATTCATTCATTATAAAGAATATATTTTAATTCAACCTGCCATCAAAAGCTCAATTTCAAGGATTTCCGCTACAGAGCTGAGATTTTTATAAGCCGGGTACATCACAAATTGAGCAGCTAGTGCCAGCATCAGTAAATGGAGCAGATTTGATATGAAAGTAATAAAAGGTTGAATGCACATTGAACACTATGATGTCTTTATGTAGAGTTACTTCCTTGAAAAAAACACTAAAATTAAGTCATGAAGTGACTGTAATGTTAGCGGAATGCCTATTTTAGCAAAATGCAAGTGTCTAAATCTGTTTGGCATATGCATGTCTGCCCATTTCCCACTGCCAAGTCCTCCAAGAAATTTGTGTGCGCCAAAGTTCATTGTTATACATAATAAAAATCCTCCAAGATAGCAAAAGGAGACACTCACCTAGATTTGTCCTATTTTCACACTATTTACACTTATCCACCATTTATATATGCTTTCTTAAAGCTCAGAACATGCAAACAGACCATTCAGCTAGCAGTTGTGTGAACAGCATTCCCATTAATTTTAACTGTTCTTAACGAGAATCAGAAGTAGTATGTGCCACAAAGCAACCATGAAATAAATAAATAAATAAATGGATTTAAGTTTTCAATGCTCAGGTGTTTTCATTTCTAAGATAAACAAGTTCAAAGATGACACTGGCAGGCCTACACACTTCTTTGTGGGACAAGAAACTCTTGATGTGTTACTTGGTGATGCTTTTGCTTCCAGAACATATTATCCATGCAAGATGTAAAACAGAACTTCTGTGACTCATGAGTCCTGCCACATTTGATAGATAAGAACAAATGCTTTGGGGGACCATTGGGCTCAGGGACTTCTCAAACAGTTACTTCTTTAATGCTTTGCCTGCGGTGGGCAGCAGAGGGGAAGTCACCAGCAGCCTCGAGCTCTGCAGTGGTGCTTCAGGCTTCAACATACTTGGAGGCAGCACAATGACTAGATGGCAAGAGGATCCCCCTGAAAGAGGCAGTACAGACAGTGTAACAGCTGGAGAAGAGCACTAGAAACAAGGAAGTGAGACAAATGACATGCCACATGTCACCAGAATCACAGCCTATCTATACATTCAATTAATTGCTATAATTAAAGGGTGCGTGAGGAAGGTGCTTACAACTCCAAGGTGAACAATTAAGGACTAATTCACCAATAATAATCCACGGGGGAACATTTCTTACCAAACAAATAGCAAGAAGTTAAAATTATTTAAGTGACAGAGACTAGTTTGCAAGCCGTCCATTAACTGCTAACATGGTTCAGATGGATTTCTTGTGATGCCTGCTCCTCTTCCCTCCTGCATGCACACCAGAAGATTTTGCATGTTCAAGAGTTAAATGATTCAGACATAATAAAGATATCTGCAAAACAAGACTGAAATTATCTTTTTTTTTTTAAATAAATGACAACAGGAGACAGAAGCACAACTTGAGTCCTCTAATTAATTATGCACACCTCTAATGAATACACTTACTTGCCTATTCTCTGCTCATCTTTTTCTACACAAAACTTTCCATCAAGTTACTCTTTTAGATCACTAAATCTGTGCTGCTGTTTTCAGATATAGTGACCCTGACTAGATACGACAGCCTAAATGAGGTTTTTGTACCCCTTGTTTTTGCATCAAAGCGTGATCAGCTTTGCTTGCATTATGGTAGCATCTGGAAACATCAGATCTGGAGCAGGCCTCTTCCATGGTACCGAGATGTGGTACAACCACCAAAAAAAAACCCCATCAACACTTGCACTAAATCCTCCCCTCAATTTCCCATTTAAAATAGGAAGGATACAGATGAATGATTAGAGCACACCAAAGGGCCTTCAACTCTCTTTAAATACCATTAGGGTTTTTATTTTCTCTGATAACTTTTTAGCACTAATCTAAGTTGATTCAATAAAGACCAAGTTTCTTTCTTGACTAGATCCTATTAATATTAAGAGCTGCTAATACATACAAATGGCTGGAAAACGTGACAGTTCCCTTTTTATGGTCTCTCCACTAGACTTAGTATCCCGATCAAGGGAATCAATAAAAGGAAATAAAATGCTATACTGTATGCAGAGGTGTGTCGGTCAACTACCTTCACAGGGACGTTTCCAGAAGCTCTCCTGACCTCATGCTACTCCTGTTGAGGTCAGAGGTACAGTGCCCTTTGACTCCAAACAGGAGCCACGTTAAACAGGTTATGGGCTGCCATCTGCCAAGCACCATATTGAAAAACTACTGGTCAGAACTTGATGGTGAGACAACAGGCAAATAAATTAACCAAAAATAATTTTGTTATTATCCTATTTAACAAGCAATTATCACATCATCCATCCTCTACCTCCCTTCTAAAATGTGTTATTTTGGAGATGGACAGTTTAATAACTACATTTAAAAGAAAAAGCATCAGAACAGTACTGATAACCCTGGAAGGCAAGGAAATCCCTAAAGGAGGCTTTGCAGGTCATATAGTAACAGTGCTATAATAGGAAAAACAGAAAAGTTTGGGCAGTGAAAGCTTTTGAGAATACAACTAAAATTGAGCAGGGCACAGAAAACATTATTTTACCCCTCAAACTAGCAGCCTTCACAGGCAAACCTGAGCAGATTGCTACTCTATAAGATAGAACGACACCACTCTAATCAGGAACTCAAAAGAAATCCTGATTTGTTCCTTGATTCTCCTATCAATAAGAGCCTCAGATCAGGTAAGCGTGAAGGTGATCGAATTTATTCATTTAACTCATTCTCTTCCCTGAAGAGCATGATCACTGTAACTGTTTTAGAAGCCCTCTAGCTTATTCACAGTACTTGGATCAGTTATCTACTGCAGGCAAAAGTGTTGAGCCTAGGACACCGAGGCAATCAGAATATTGTTTTTTCCCCTCACTGGGGAGATCAGTAAAGCATCACTATTTATACTAACTCTTATTATTTCACCAAAGCACTTCTCCTGCCTTATCAACTTTCAGTACATTAGGACAGCTAAAGAACAAGCAGGTTAAACAGATGCCCACTTTACCAGTATCAATAATTGACCTTTAACAAAGCTGGACATTCTAGTTCTAGGAAAAGAAACATCATTATTGGCAAAATTCACTAGGATCAGAGGCCTATAATCATTATCCTTGCAAGTCGTACAGTTTATAATGAAACTAACTAATCAGCAAAAACAGCTTAAACAAGGTGAAGTACAGAAAGAACCGGATCGCAAGAACAAGTTGTAATTGCTCATAGATACCCAGGGGTAGCTCTCAGTAACTCGATTAGCCTTGGTGGAGTTTTGCTGGATTTGCATTAATGAAGCAAAGAGCAAAGGTTAGTCCCCAAAATCTCTTAGAACAGCTAATAGTAATTTAGAGATACATGACAGCAACTAAAAAGATAAGACACTACACATCCAACATCTAATAGAGACTGCAACTGAGGCTTCCTTGATTCACTCTGCACTGGGCTTATGCAGATTAAATAAAGCCTGATGAGATCACTTTCCTGGAAAAGAAGGAAAGCTGGTCTGAGAGAAAGCCTCAGAGAAATCTGGCAAGACTAGCTTCAAATTGCTTTCATCAAGAGCATTACTGGTCTCTCCAAGAGCGTGCAAAACAGCTTAAAAAGGAGATTTTCATATTCTCTTATATGCTTATAAAGTAACCTCAGATCAGGTTTTTCTAGGCGAGATTGAAATCTCATTGGGTAAAACAAAAATGGTTTCTTTTTCAGCACAAGGAACTATCACAAGATGTTGCAGAGATTAAAATGAGTCTCCTTAGGAAGGGAGTTGACAAGTGAATTCAGGTGATTGTTATTAAACATGACAGAGCAGATGCTCAGGAAGTCCTCAAACAGTGATTGCCAGAAGCTAGCAGTATGCAATATGAAAATCATTATATTGCTTTAAAAAGAGAAGTATCTTTTCTTTAAGAAAGCACTATTACAGCTATTCTCTTGACTGATTGTCAAAATGTCTGGAGGGAGCCATTCCTAAGGAGCAAAGGTTAGGTTAACCCTCACTAAAAGTGCTCATCCTTATTCCCAATTCTGTTAAATGCCTTTAAATTAACGAGCTTGCATTCCCTATCCTTTCCCCCAAAATGAACTTTCTAAATATGGTGTTTTCTTCAAACCAAAAAATGAGGGAGCACTAGGTCTAGGCACCAGGGTCTCCTCCTCCTCCTCCTGTTTCAATCCATCCCATTCAGCTCCACAGAGTGAGGCAAACACCGTGTCACAGATTTGCTCCCTCATTTTCTGCTCTGCAAATGCCAGGAGCTTCATAGTCTAGACTTGTGCTGACTTGAAGTGAAGCAGCCTCTCTCCTCCTCTCCAAAAGGTGCAGCCACAGCAGGAGGGCAAAAGTTTAATGCTACAGATATGAAATATTCCTCTCTGCTGTACAGCCAATACAGCAAAAAGACACCCCATCCCCAAAATACTTCTACCAACTGACAAAAGCGTTGGTGCTTTTGTAGATCGATGCAGTTGAAATAAGTCTCCAATGGCAAAACAAAGGCGAAATTCCACTGAATCATAGTTTTACGTTGTTTTAAGGGAGGGAAGGCTTTACTAGTATCAGACTCTGCTCTAGACCATGTCTCTGCATGGCAAGGACAACTCAAGAGGCCATCAGCTCAAACTGGCTTTGCCCTTCTCTCGTTTAACAGCCTGAACACAGATGGGTGCATTGCTTTAAGAAATTCAGAAAGGTGGTTTTGCCAGGCAATAGTGTCAGTTTTGCAATCTGCTGGCCCTTCATCTCCTGTTTTTTAAGCCCATAAAGGCAAAGCAGGATTTTTTTGCATTCTTGTAAATGATCAGAGCTGACCCAGCAATGATGCTTATTCCTGCATCCGTTCCCCTTCCCACAGCCATGGGATACTCAGCGTTCTGCCAGGGACTTGGCTGCAGAGACTGGCACAAGCTCGTTTCCATACATATTGTCATCGAGATCATTCTTCTTGCCCTGCTTTAGCAGATGACATTCCACGTTTAAGGGGAAAAAAACAAAAGCTGAAAAGCTATTGAAGATTTCTGCTGTGTTTTAATTACAGTGTTCTTCTAGGATCCATAAAAAGCAGTGAGGAAATACGGTAACACTCGAATCTTTGTCTCCAGCTACTTGCTGAAGGATAACGATATGCTACTTTGTGCCCCTATTACAGTCCTAGAAATAATGAAGGCAATAAAATAATGAAAGCAATGAAAGATGTGGCCAAGGGCAAGGAGCACAGTGACAACGGTGTCTCAATTGAATTCTGTGCTGCTGTGAAAGGGGATATATTGCTGACAGTGCATTATGTATGGAAAATATGGAACTAGCAACTGGTTAGGTGAAAATATTCTTCTGTGAAGATCCTTATGTAGTGGCAGTATCCTTTCATCCTAAACCTCTAGCACAAGACAAAAGGCAACCCCAAAAACAGAGATATATTTTTTTTAATCCTGTCTAATATGTGCAGACTTTATGCTTAGCTCAAATTCTGCTGGAAAATTCGACATCACCTCTTTACTGACACTAAAGGATGCTCTATCCCCGTGTATAGACACATAGGCTGTAGCACCACAGAATGCAGAGATGAAAGCAGAGGAAGGAGAGTGCTTTGCAACACAGCATGAAAGCCCACTATAATGGAAGAGTTAATATAAATACAGACCTTAATGGAACTTTTGTTGCAAGCATGCTGTATCTTTTAGGAAGTGGAAAAATTACATAGGCTACATCTTTAAAAATAGTCAAATATAGCTTACTTTGTAGGAAAATAAATTAAATATTCACTTGCATGCATAGTCAGCATTTCACTAAGTGCTAAATTGAGCTTTTTTTTCCCAAATAATTCAGTGAAGTTTTGGGACATGAATTTACTTTGAGTGAATGGTTTAGAACACTGAAGTATATTAAACTCTTCAACTTGTTTGCAGCAGCTTTGACAGCAGCACGCCAGACTTTTGGAAGTCTGTGACACATTTCAGCAGACCTTTCCAAACAGAAGCCAAGATAAACAAACAGAGGAAGTATGGAAAAGCAAAGACCTCTTCTCCTAGACAAATGTTCCATCAGCAGGAGTCCCATTATTTGTTATAACAATCTTTAACTTGTAATGACTCTGAAGAAGACTAATAACAGACTGGTGGGAACAGATGGAGTGGTGCTGTTAATTATAGGCACTTAGCTGCATCAGACCCCATGAGTTATTACTAACATTTCCCACTAGGGAGGAGAATCACTCGCTTTTAAGTAGTATGTTGCTTACTAAGCTGAGAGCATTATCAGACAAGAGTGTACTAATCAGTACTCTAACAACTCAAAAGAGAAGTCAACTGCTAAAAAAAATAAATATATTCAGAATAACTCTCATCCCCCAATCTATTTTTTTTTAATGTCACTTCTAAAAATAAAGTTCTTCCACAAGAAGAAAGCAACAAACCTTTACTGGAAGCATTAATTTTCCTAGTATCTGACTGGCAAACAGATAAAACTCACAAAGGAAAAAGAACCCTAGCAAGTATAAGGAAGGTATGCCAACCTCCTGATGCGCTGGAAGGGGCTTTGAGCAAAGAACCTGCACCAAACTCAGCCCAGAAACAGATGTTTCAGTCTTCACTAAGCATGATATTATTGCATCCCACCTGAAACTCCTTTTGCTACCGCACTACCTACCTGTCAGTTTTAGGCCCAAGTTTGCTGCTGCACCCCACATCCAAACAGAATTACTTCTTCTTCTTGGCAAGTATCTGAAGTTAAACACACTGTATGTGTGAGCAGAAACTGTATTTCTCGCCATCAGATTTTCAGCCAGAAGTTATTCTTATTTGTAGTCATCACAGTTCAAAGGCAATGCAAGTTTTCTTTTTCCAAAGGCTTGTAAGAGCTTGAGCAGAAGCCTTCAGAGGTGATGTACAACGCAGCTGACAGGACACGTATTCAACAAGCTCTTTTAAAAAGAGTAAGGAACAAATCTATTGGCTATCATGAAGCCAAACACTCTGAAAGAGGCCAGTTAACAGAGATCCTGATGATGTCTCTTCTTTCAAAAACACTGTACCCCTTAGGGGCTTTCAGCAATATTAGCGACTGTAGCAAATTAGATCATTAAAGACCATTATATTCTGATATGCATTCAGACAGTAGAAAACCATAATGAATTTTTCTATGAATTCCTCCATCGATAATTAATTCCTTTGCAATGTACCTATTAGCTAAAAAGGACTGAGCTATAAAGGTCAAGGGGAAGAGGATGGCTTTTACAACTACAGTGATAGCAGATACTAGAGAAATACATTAGAAAGATTAATAAAAATCATAACTTGGGATGGAGGTTCAGAGAACAACTGCGGGGCAAAGCCTGCACTGTACAACACTAGTGGCAGACCGCATGATTTGAAAGCAACTACTTGTACCCTAGAAGGATGCTATACAAGCCACCTTCTCTTGGAGGTTATTTCATTTGAAGAAATACAACCTGCAGAGCTTGCAGGTACAGAAACAGGTACTGATAATTACACATTTGTTCATCCATCTGAAAGCTTGGGCAGAACAAGACAGCTATAGCTGGCAATTCATACCTGTGTTAGCTTAGGGTCAGTAGCTGCCTGGAGCTTGGGCAGCTTTCACAGCAGGAGGAAAGAGTAGAAAGAGCACACAGGGCTTATGATCAGCTGACAGCATAAGTTTTGTTTTAACTTTAGCATCCAACAGATCTCAGTTTATATACAGATAAGCCACACCATTTACTCGTGAAATTCAAGAACTTAAAGCGCTCCTTCCTCCTCTGCTGGGATATTTACCATAATCTTCCAAATCATTCTTAATGTAACAGTGAATAAATTCATTCTCCACTGATACATGAGGTAATGACCTACTCAATGCATCCAATAATGCAATACACATGCTTGCCAGGGAAGAAGTAATTATATTTAATCAAAAATCTTGTCACTCATAAGATTAAAATACACAATTCATGTCAAACTAGTATCAATATTAGGGCAGTTGGTGGGGGGAAGAAAAAAAAAAACATAGAGAATTTTCTCAGGAATTCCATCCACAACTGCAGAGGGAGGGAAGAATTTTGTGTATTTAATACTCACATTCAAACTTGAGAACCCAGCATCCAGTCAGAACAGCCATCATGCATTTGACAGTGCTTGGCATTGGAGCATCAGGGACAACAAGATGAGTTACTAGAACAGAGATTACATGAGAAGGACTAAAAGCTCACAAACAAAACCATGCCCAACTGAAAAGCATCCATCACCACTTAAACTAAACAGGTCATAATGACTTAGCAATCACTTTCCAGATGATTTCTGAGCTTTTTGTTTAGCAATAAACACTTACAGGAGCACCATTAGAAGTTTTGGGGGTTTTAAAATATATTTGCTGTGAAAAAGGGAAGTCACTTTTTCTACAGTTCCAAGCTGTAATGTCTTAATGTCTTTAAAGTAGGCTCAGGTTTACAGGGTAATGTTTTTCTACCCTTTCTTAAGTTTTATTCAACTCTGGCAGGAATTTTTACATTGAATTCCATGCCACAAGACTAACAGGACTTAACTCGCAGTTTTGGAAGGGTAATGAGGAAATGGAGGGAAGAGTGGGAAATATTACCTCAGTATTCCCTCATGAGCAGGAGAAGTAATACTCCAAGAAACTAATAGCATTAAGAGATAGAATGAAGATAATTTTAAATAATACACTGTCAAACTACTCACTTCTCCTGGAAGCCTCCTGCCTCAGCAAGCAGCCAGGCGAAAAAGTGCCCAAGAGACTGCTCCCTCATACTTGGGCAGGAACCAGGCAACTAAAACACCATGTACCTTTTCCCCCTCTCCAGTCCCTGAAAAGAAGGTCTCAAGAGGCTCAAGACCCTGGGGCAAGTCCCAAACAGCCTCATTTTTTCCTCATTTTCTTGCAGAAAGGCACATAGAATCTTATTATACCAGTTAACATGCAACACTACACACCTTTTTACTATTGCTATAAATAATTCAGGGCTGTTATTAGGAATAATACTCACTCCAGCTAATACCTTAACAGATAAAGTGCAGAAGTTCTGTTGCTTGCACTATTTGGACGTAGATGTTTCAACAAGAGTACATACCTGTGCTGTTAAATTCAGTACATCTTCGAGCCTTCAGAGTTGTTGCTAGCTTACTCAGCAGTTTCTGCTGCGCTGAACTAAGACTGCTCCCAAGAATACCAAGAGGGCCCTCCCTTGGCTGGCTAGGGCTCATAGGCTGCATTAAAAAAAATAGTCCTATATAAGCTGAATATTCAGGAACATAAAGAAAGATAATCTGCTTCACAGTTTTATTAAATACAGAATAAGCACTTTGAAAAACAATTCATGTCAAGTTTAGTGGACTGCCTTCATAAATAAATCTATATATAACAAACCAGCTACAGACTAAAAGTCGACATTATAGGTATTATTTAGTTTACAGGTGGTACCAAAATAATTTTTTGTACCAGTATTTTAAAAAAAAGACAAAGAAAAGCTGGTGGGCAAACATCCAGTTGGTGTAAGAGTTTACTGTTCTGTAAAGAGCCATGCTGATTGCAATGTTGAAGGATGAAAAAACTGTCAATATAGTAAAGTCTCCAACAGCAGTACTATCGATATGTTGAAGAACATATCAAATTAAGATCTGTTTTTCCTTGCACTGTCCAATACATTGCCCTGGGAGTAATCCGCGCCTACAGTTTTGTACAAAGCCAAAGCTGCTCACTCAAGTTCTCAAGTTTTATTCCAGCATGGATGTACGTGGTGCTCCCTAACTCCTCGGCTTTTGCAAGCACTCCCAGGTCCCACACAACAGACATAATTTTAAGACCCAGCTATCTCAAAGCCTCAAAATTAGGATCAAGTCACCCAAATGAGCTGGTAACCAATCACAAAGACACGCACATATGCAATAGGAAATAGAAAAATCTTACTTTGCTTGCTTGCAAAAGAAAGAGCTGCATTACCTTGTATTTGCTACAGTTGGGAGAAACAATAAAACTTACTCTTGCTAATTTAGTTTGCTTTTGGCCAAGAGGCATCTCATTACCACAAAGAGGAGGGATCACAACAGGCTGTATATCCTGAAGGGACTAGAATGCTTAATATAAGCCAGCTCAGTTTATTCATCATTCATTAGGAAGCACAAAGCATTTGATATAGAATAACTTGTTGAGCCTGGATAATCTGATTTTGCTTACAAACCCTCAGAAGCCTTAGGCAATAATAATGATGATAAAAAAATGCTCTTTTCAACTACTGAGTTGATATCTTTATTGTTGGATGAAGGAAGATACTGGAACAGTCCAGTGAAGGTACATGAAAAGTCCCTGGAGCAAAGACTTCCACACCTTTCAGCCAGTTTAGTGGACAGAACAAGATTTAGGAATGCAGAGAATCGACCAATTTTCCACCTCCCTGTAAGGGAGGTGTCATACTTTGCTTGGGTCGAAGCCTTCGATGCTTACAGGATGAACTTATGTTTTTAATAAAACACTCTTACCTCAGTGGGTTGGTTAAGTGGAAGTGATGCTTTCCTCATTGGTAACTGTAGCACAGACTTCATCTTTTCACTTTCTGCATAGTCCACAGGCCGCAAACCGAATATATTACTGGCAAAACAAACATAGCTGGGTTTAAGTAAATAAAATGTGACTTGATTCTCAGCTCCTGGGTGCATTAGCTGGGTGTTTTCTCTCCCCACTTTCTTATTAATATGCAATTTCAGCTAAAACATACAAAGCTTCGAGTAAGAATTGCAGGCAAGACAGATGGATACTGAGTTACAAGCTGCTGCATTCAGCTGAGGAGAAATAGATGTTCAGAGCAGCATGTTAAGTTAAATAAACTACAGCCCTTGTTAAACTGTTTTGAGATGCACTTTGATATCATTCACAAGACCCAGAAATTTCAGCTCTAATCTTTCATTGCAGTCACAGAACCACGAAAATGCATTTCAACTCCAAAAATAAACACGCATTCTGCATCTGAACCCACCAAGCAGTGTCATGCCAAAGGAAAACATTTGCCAAGAGTAAAACACACATGAAATAATAATTTAAGCCTTGGAAACATGACCCTTCATGGCCATTATGGCTATAATTCCTTGTCCCTGTTAGCTTCTGCATGTGCCTGAGCTTTGCATAGATGAGGCCAGCCACAGAAACCACACTGCCAAATACCTGCTGCTCTCCTGCTTCAGCTAGTGTTTCCTTTATGTCTTACTGAGCAAGACGAGTGCAGAACCACAGGTATCTGCAGATCTACCCACAAGGTCCAGTAAGGCAACAACTCGATGGCTAACCATCCTGCATCGAAGCACACCTCGGAATCTCCTACCTATGTGAAATATTTGAGCTTGACATGGTTATGCTATTATCAGAAATACCATCTGCTTCTTGCTCGGGAACTGTGATGTTCTCACACTTCCAGAATTAGCAAGTATCTTAACAAAATACCATTCCACAGAACAGAGGCAGCAAATTCATTCAAAATTTGAGCTGTTTTGCTAGTTTTATTGATATTACACAGTGTCTCTGAAGCTATCTTCCAACATGGGCATTTTACAGTGCTTCAAGATCCCTTTTCTCCCCCATGCATTTGCCACCAGTCAGACAGCGATGGTTTGCTATAAGCACATCAAGTGCAGCCATGACGTAGCTCCCCTTGGCAGTTCTGCAGCTGCAGGACAGCAGTGAGGGGAGAAACCTGAACCTGCAGAAGAGGTATAGTAAAATCTGCTAGGAAACATGCTGCTTTGCTAGGACTCAGGGGAGATATTCTGCTTTCTTTGCCCTTTATGAGAGTAAAAGCTACTCCAGCTGATCTTCTCTGCACCTCCAGTGGCTCTTGCTCTCCAAAGACATAATAAGACCTGTTGGAAGGAGAGAGCTTGTCAAGGAGAACAAAGCCCTGGCTCGCTATCTGCAACCTGGCAAGCTTAGTCATTGAAGCAATGAAACATTTAAAGAGGTCAGAGAAACCTGCTGCAGCTTTGAAGCACTGTCCTTACTTAACCACTGCAAAGAGGGGGAATCAAAGAGGATTTATCAGAAATTCCACATAAGGGCACAACCTGATCCAGCCGGCACTAAAGCACAGATCATTAAGCCTTAACTTTGACTTAACTGGGAGGGGTAACAGACTGTTAGGAGTTGAACCGGACCCTCCTATCCTCCTGTTGACCACAGCTCTTCGCTCTGGGGAAAACGCCGACCCGCGGACACCACGCGCCCTCACAGAGATCCCGCTGCAGCTGCCGCCGACCGCCAGCACGGCCACGCTCCTAACGAGCCAGCGGCCAGCGCACCGCTAATTGGGCTCGCTAAGAGATAATTGGGGATATCTCAGCCCAGCCTGGCAAGCAGCAGCCCATTAAATCCTGTCCTGCTGCTTCTGCTTTGTGGCGCCCCATCAGGGTGGCTTTTGCCTGTATTTAAATAAAGGCCAGATCTGTCAGGACAATTCCTTTGTACCCCACAGCCCCAGAAACACGCACTAGCACATACACAAATACCATCTTTAAAATAGATGGCTGACCCTGTACTGGGGACTGTGAGGGGAGAAAACCCACTAAGGCACCTGGGGAGACTGGGAGTTTTTGCCAGTTCAACAGAACAGAAAGGAAGCCCAGCTCCGCTCTTTTTTTCCCTTTTTTTTTTAAAAAAAATCTTGCAATTGAGTGCATTTCACTGGCTTCTTCCCAGTGTACAGCAAACCCTGCCTTATGCATTACCAGAGCAAGTGGCTCTTCAATACAATGTTAAGGTGCAACAGCTAAAATAAACTGCAGCAAGAAACATGAAAGCTTGGGTTTCAACAAATAAAACTCATCACCGGGCTGCTATACATGTGAAAAACCAGCTCAGGAAGGAGAGACAGGAGGGCTCAGGAAGAACAAGCCAACCTCAAGAGAGGGAAAACACTCAGATGTCCAATGCAGATTTGTTTGTTTGTTTTTTTAAGTTTTCACAACTTTTCAAAAAATAAGGACAAACCGGATTTGTTCTTTTTGCATAGGCATTCCCTAGCTATCCAAGAAGTAAATAGCCATCAATCAGAAAGACTGTCTTAGCCCTTGTAGTTCTGGTGCAGTTATTAGTACAGATATTAAGGATGCTAGAAACAGCTGCTGTTTCTTAACACTGTGAACAGGATCAGGGAACAGACATGGGGCCACATGAGCAGCTGTGCCAGCGTAGTTGGTGTTATGGCACAGAAACAAAAAGCACAAACTGCTGCCAGAAAGACGTGCTCACTTCTGTCTTCATTCAACCAAGTTAAAGAACAAAAATCTCCCACCATAGAAACATCTCTGATTTTCCTTCCTGTTCTACAGGTCTCGAGTTTGTTCAGCATGGATCTAAGCGCGCTCCTGCGTAACAAGCTGCACACTCCACGAGGACAGATGCGATTGTTTCTGCAGGAGGGAGACAAGCACGTCTGATGCTGAAGCCAGGATACAAGGTCTCTAAAAATACACCTGTCTAGCAGAGCGCAAGTGGGCTTTTTGCAAATTGATTTAAACATTCAAGAGTCAGATGTATCCTTTGATGCAAACAGTCTCCTATTAGTCAGTCATCAAGGTAGTGAATAGTCAGTCGAGGGCTCTTACAGCTAGAACAAACTCCAATCAAAGAGCCCAAGGATGTCTGTGCTGAGAACAAAGACGGGCCCGATGAAGAGCTCTGCAATATAAGCTGCTGAGTGCGACTTTACAGGAGATGACAGGTGGTGTCTTCAGGACTGACAGATCAAAGAAAATCTTATGAAAAAGCTTCAGAATGAGGATTCAGTTTATGGTGCAACACTGCTGAAGTCCCGAGTGTGAGGAGCAAGGTTCCTTTGCTCTGGTCAGACAAAGAGAAACTTGACAGCTACTTTCTATACATTTCATGAAACTTTTAAGAAATAAGTAACCAAACAGACCACACAGAATAAACAGAGACACTCCTGCCAATTCTTTACAGGCCCCAGACTTGTGGCTTCCAATACAGGCAAACAATATTTATAAAATACTTTGCAACCAAGGTTTTTCTCACCTGCTTCATTTTCACATCCAAAGCTACTTACTGTTTCACAGCCAAGTGCAAGCCAACTTTTTTCCCCAACCTCACAGAAGAGTTCTGTACCCAGCAGAGGACCTGCAACCAGCTCCTAACCTTGCACTGCAACTAATTCCCTAGTAGAAATCTGGCCAATTTTGGGACTTGCCAGTGTGAACTTACACTTTGAGTGCCAAACCTGTGAGGAAGCAAATTGAATCCATGTAGCCAGAAACACCAGCTTAGGCACCCAAACAGGGCCAGGTTTCTAATTTACCTACTGCCAGCAGGAAGCTAAGCGTATTATCTTGCACTTGGCAACAGGTGGCAACAGGCCAGGAAAAGCAAACAAAATTAAGTCGGTGCAGCCTGCAATCACCTGCAGGTTATGAAGATTTTTTGCCCCATGTCATTCAAAATCCTTAGACCAGAGTCTATCCCCACTCACCTGGAATTGCTCAGAACCAGACTTAATGTACAGAAAGACAACTAACATCTAAAAAAATGAGGCAACAAAACAATTTCTACTAATGCTGAACTTATTGTGCATGAAGAGCGGGCACGATAGCCCATTTGAGTGAAAGCATTTATGAAGTGCTGTGAAATTGCAAATGCACAGATCTCATTTTTCAAATCACTTGGCTTGCTGTGAAGCAAGGAAAAAATTCAAGAGGGTGAGCACAGGAAAAAAAGCTATAAAAATATAAATTAGCTATGTGTAGGAGATTAACTTAAAAAAATTAACTAGACCAGCGGGACAATTAATAGGTCCACTGGTCCATATAATATTTTCCATTTGCAGTTCGTATCTTCCCCAGTCAGTGAAAACTTTGAATGGCAAATGAAGTGCCACAACTACTAAATCTTGCAGATTTCAAAAAAAATGATACAAAATAAAAACACTGCAAAGAAATACTGAAATACCAGCACTGCTTTCCAGCAAACTGGGTAGTTCTCACCTGCATTCCCTTTCTCCACGGATCATGCAAGTGCTTCTTATTACATACACTTACTTTCTACACACTCTGTAT